ATATATATATATATATGAAACAAATTTAATTAAAAATATATTTAGTTGGAGGAGATGACGACATGTATTACATAAATTGTTTTAAATAAATGAAAAAAATAATACATAACTATCAAAACATCTAAATTATTTCTCATAGTTTAGTAAGTTGGATATTTGAGTTTAAGTTAAGAAAATCTAATTATTAAAAGTAGAAATGAAATTCTAATATGTATTGTTTGCAAGACAAAAATTCAAAGACAAGAAAGAGTTGCTTGAGATCGGATGTATGTCGTTATACTCCTGTTATGAAAACAGAATCATCCTATAATTGAAAGAAAATAAAGAAAAAATGATCAAAATGAGAAAGAAGTACAAACATATGGGGGGTGTGTTGCAAGTGTGAATGGATAATATGATAAACTCATATTTAAATTTTGTTAAAATAAATTCTACTTGAAGTTGATTTCAAGTGTTAAAAACTTTTGCAATATTAGAATTTAATTGTCTACAATCTAAATATGTAACATTTGTTTTAAAAGAAATTATAATTTTGTGATAGCTCTCTATATGTCAAATGATGCATAGAAGAATAACCAACAAAGTAATTTTTTATTCATAATGACCAAATAATTTTTGAGTCAAATGACCAAATAATTTCAGCCTTAATCTGGGTCAAGAGAATGTCTCCATAGCTGAATAACCATTCAACAAAATCTAATTCATTTATGACTAACATTTTTTTATGATTTGAATGTTTGTTCAAAATTAATGATATTTTTCATTAAAAAAATAAAAATAAAATAATAAATTATTATCGGACCAAACAACTTGAAGTTACTAACATTTTTTTATGAATTGAATGTTTGTTCAAAATTAATAATATTTTTCATAAAAAAAAATAAAAATAAGATAATAAATTATTATCAGACCAAACAACTTGAAGTTTTCCAAAGAAAATTTCACCACCTGCTTGTGTAAAAATAAAAAACTGATTATTAGGTACACTTATTTTTAAGTACTTATACTTTATTTAATAATATATTTATTAAAATATTCTTTTTCTGTAATACATAAACTATCTTTCAAGTAAGGTGTATTAATATTTACTGAAACAGATTTCAATTAATTAAAGCATCCTGATTCAATTATACATGACTCTTCAAAATTAATCCTGCATATAAGTCATGGTTAGATATAGCTAGTCCCTAAAATATATTAACTCAAGATTACATTTGAATAAGCTTCACCTACGTCAGCCCAAAAACAACTGCATAATATCATCTTTAATCTTTAAATTAACATAAATTCAAATGTCCACAAATTAATAACTGAATTGGTTTTAACCCAAGTCTTGAGATTCAGTTTTCATGTTATATTCATGCATACTTGCATAACAAATTAACTATATATGACCAACAGCAATAATAAAAATAAATCATAATTCATTATTATCATATGAAATTGATAATTTAGTTCCACACATATCACTGAATGGAGTAAAACCATTCATAGTTTATAATGTTAAGTAACATTATGTACAAGGGATACAATATCCCAATCTCCAGTTTTTGAAGCATGTAGCTTGTAGCCTGTTACTTGAAATTTCATCATTTATTTCAATCAATGAATCATTATCTGGTCTGTTCTACTGTCCAAGACAGGGTCTCCAACAAGTCATCTCTGCGATGACAAGAAACCAACCATTAGAATTCCCGACCATTTTAATATCTTAAATTTATCCAGATACATTATTACCTACATTGTTCCAAAATTTTGCCTCAATCAATGAAAATACAAACTGAACACAAAGAAAAAAGAAACACCGTTAAATGCATCTAAAAACAACCCTCAAATATGTAAAAGACAAACCCACCCTTTCAGAGAATAAGATCGCAACATCTAACTCATCATCCCAAAATCTGAACAGAAACAATTTTGAACACTTATTGGAATTAAATTGAAAAAAGGATGAATTTTTTAATGAGATATCCCTCCTTCTCCCACAAAAGGAAAAAAAATGAAATGGAATAGAAAAAAAGTTATCATTTCATTGTTTGAATTTTATGATAGAAAAGACATGTAGTCTGTTACTTGAAGCATGTAGCCTGTTATTTGAAATTTCATCATTTATTTCAATCAATGAATTATTATCTGGTCTGTTCTACTATCCAAGACAGGGTCTCCAACAAGTCATCTCTGCAATGACAAGAAACCAACCATTAAAATTCACGACTATTTTAATATCTTAAATTTATCCGGATACATTATTACCTACATGGTGTTCCAAAATTTTGACTCAATGAAAATACAAACTGAACACAAAAAATAAAAAAAGAAACACTGTTAAATGTGTCTAAAAATAACCCTCAAATATGTAAAAGACAAACACACCCTTTCAGAGTCAGAGAATAAGATCGCAACATAGAACTCATCATCCCAAAATCTGAACAGAAACAATTTTGAACACTTATTGTAATTAAATTGGAAAAAAGATGAATTTTTGAATGAGATATCACTCCTTTCCCCACAAAGAAAAAAAAATGAAATGGAATAGAAAAAAAGTTATCTTTCATTGTTTGAATTTTATGATAGAAAAGACATGGTTTCATTTCCATCCCACACCCCTAAATTGTAGAGGAAAAAAAAAAGGAGGTTGTGGATTGAATTGTGCATTGCGGTTCTATTTTATTAGGGTGGAATCTTCAACCTAGTATCCACCCCATTCCGTCCTTTTGTGATACTAAATAAAAGATAAATCTGCTCTGCACAATTACAAACTTCTTTTATACCAACGAGATTTAGCTCAATTAGTTGAAAGTGTGTATTGTAAATTGTAAATACCTTGTTCCAATGTTTGATTCCCATAGATTAAAAAAAACAACTTATTTTACCCTAGTCTCATATTTGCCCTATCTTCATAAACAAAGTCTATCTATATCCAAAATTTATCGCAATCTCTAAAGCATGATAGTAATCAATTTTCTTTTCTAAAGTTGTCACACTAAATCATAGTGAAATTTTTATGACATAAGACCAACAAAAGTGTCAATTGGGTGGGAAAAATCAATAAAGAGAAGTTACCGAGTGGAAGGTTAGTTTTGGGCATGAATGGCGCTATAAATTTTGGAGAAGCGACCAGTTGGGGGCTTAGGTCGAAAAATTTTCTTTTTAAGGCCAAAAACCTCTTGCACCAAAGGCACGTGAACCAGCACCAGTTTCCACGCCACAAACCAACCTGCACCACATGTATGCTCTTTTCAACTCAACAATCAACACAATAAAGAGAGAAATTAGGTCAAAATAATCGGTGCTTACCAAAGGATATTAAGAGGAGAACGAACGCTATGGCGAGGAGGGGACGCAAAAGGAAGAGCACCGTGTATTCCCCAAAAGACAGCAACGACGTCATCTCCAACAACATCGCCAACCTCCGCCACCTCGTCTATTGTAGGCCTCCTTGGGCCTTCAACCCATCTGGCCCAGACTACAACTCTTTTAAAATTTAGGTAAATGTTGTATCCACCTCTCTTTTCTAATATATATTAATTCTAAAAAATTTCTTAAATATTTTTTAGTTTATTTTTTAAATAAATTTTTTTCCCTTCTTTATTTTTTTAATTTTTTTTTTCTATTTTACTCTTAACTGCAACATATTTATCGTAAAAAAAAAACTTCAATATAGGTATATAATATTCACCAACTTACTAATTTACAAAAAATCAATATTAGTGAGAAATATTCACCGACTTACTAATCTCTTTTAGAAATAAACGAGTAGAGAGCATTTATAATTTATTAATTTTCAATAATGATTATTAATTAACATAGGTTATAATAGTTTGTATCCCACAGTTAGGTTGTTTAGGGTTCAAAATCTAACATTACTTATTTAATACACTGTTGAGAGAAAAATATCTACTATGTGTGTTCACAATTCTTGATAGAGATTAGTTATTTCTTGTCACGGTGAATATTTCATACCAATTTCATGATTATTAAAAAAAATCCTTATTAAAAAATTTAATTAAATACTTTGTAATAAAATATCTCTTTTCAATTATGTCTTGACTCTAATTCAAAACGTTATTTAAAAAGATCAAGTCACTTCGACGGTTGATTATTAATAAGTTATCTTAATATCAAGTATGCATAAAAGAAAATAAAAAAATAGGTTAAAAAATATTATTTTTAATTTGTATAAAAATTAATAAAAAGTATTAAAAAAAAATTAAACTAGAAAATTCATGGCGTGATTTGCACGACAAGCATGATTTGATTTTCCACTTGAGAAACCTCTTATTCATTCTTCAATTCTCTCTTTATTCCGTTTCCTTCCCCTCGTCACTCTCACCAGCTACATAGTTTACTACTCCCTTTGTCTTTTGCCTCTTCAACCTCAACCTCGTCTTGCTTCACCCTCCTCTATGGAGACAACCACTTCCGCACCCAACACTCGGCGCCGCTCTTTCCGCTGCTCCTTTGTCACACGCTGTTGTCGCTGTTTCTGCTGTTTCTACTCCTTCCCTTAATCAAATGCACCATCCTCCTCCTATCGGGTCGTTAGACCCGACCCGAATTTCTCTCTTAGCCAACCCATCCCCTTCTTTTCAATCACTGCACAAACATGAAACAGAACAACAGCAGTTACAACCTTCCAAGCGTTTCCTTTGGTCAAACCACCCACTTGGGGTTCCACCCCCTGAAACCCACGTCATCATCGAGGTTCTCTACTTCCTGAAAGTTTTAGGATTTTATTTTTAAGAATAAGTTTTTTAGTTTGGGATTCATATGTTGTTTAGGGCTTAGGGGTTTTATTCTTTTCTAGAATGTTCTATTCCAGCTTAGATTAGGATTATCTTGTTAGGGTGTTTAGCTTAGATATTAATCTGGTCTTGTAATATTGTTAATTGAAGAAATGGCATGTGTTTGATCTGGGTACAATTGTTGAGTGTTTTATTTCTATTTTAATATGCTTGTAGTTGTAAGATAAATTTGTTGACTTTTCTAATAACTATTCTCTATCTTAAAAGTCATATTTATCGTGTTTTTGGATCAGTTGATACGTGATAGTCAAACTGTGCATAGAATTTATACTGTTCTGATACTCTGATCATTTTACAGGAATTTTCTAGTCCATTTGATTACAACTATGATATTGCTACCGATGCAACCTGCAAAAGTCTTCGAGGTCCAACGGGTATCATTTTGTACAGAAGAGGGACAAAACTCAGAAAGCAAGGCATGGTTCCAAACTGTGGGGATGATACTGGTTGTGATTTTGAGAAAAAGATAAACTTTGCTTTAGATCCAACATTACAAGGAGGTCCGCACGATAATCACACTGCTGCTCTCATTTGCTTCTAAAACAAGGTAAAATTTCAGTGTACAAAGCACAACAGGTGAAGAAAAGTGCAAATATATTAGCATGCTAGCATCTTCTTTGTTGAAAAGAAAATGTAGATTAGTGACAAATGAGACTCACGATCATCTGTTGATTATGCTGTATTTCCATGATAATATAAAATTATTACTGTGTGCTGGTGGTGGAAAAATGCAACTATACGAGCAACTATACAAAGGGTTAATAATATGGATCAAGTGGAATAACTTATTCAAGGAATGTTCGAATAACTCTATTTTGGCTTGTTTTCATTTCTCCACCTTGTGGTTTAAAATGAATTGCTCCTCTTGTTAGCACATAATCCCATTAGGTTGTTTCTTTAACAATTTTTTGCCAAATAAGCTTATGATCAAGTAACACCCTATGACTAAGGTGCAAATGTATTGTGATTACTCCCTAAATTAAATTCATTGTTGTTGGTGTTGTATTTTTTTAATTCCTAGGTAGTATAGAATTTTTAGATGCAAATGTTTTTTTGGGTCCTTGGCTTTTGGCCCAATCAACTGAAAACAAATTAGTCTTATAGTAGGAAACCAGAATCTTCAATTATTGTCTGGTTATGTAGCTAGATCCAGGAAAGACTTAAAATTATATAGTGAACAAATGAGAAGTTGAAGCAATAGGGAATAAATAGTATTGGAAAGCCACCTTAATTGCAATCACCCTTTGCCTGCCTTAGTTGCAACCTCTTTGAACAATTATCACTTTACAAATCGATTTTATAGGGTTGAGTTAAACTTAAGTCTAATGTCTAAGATAATATCAGAGTCAATAAGATCCAATTATTTGACCACCTCCATTTGCAATGTTCTGTGCAGGCTGTTTTAGTTGCAGCCTCAAGGGTGGTAGTTTAGTCTCACATTGACTAGAGATATAACTTAAATGGAGCTTATGAAGTTTGGACACTTCTTACCTTACTAGCTGGTTTAATAAGGTTGAGATAAATTATAAGCCCAATTTATAAAAAAAAAATAGCTTAGGCTTCTTGTATAAAATATCTAAAGTGGTCCATTCTTAAAATAATTGAATTTTAGACTTCTGTTCATATATCATTATTATTTAATTAATGTTCATATGATTCTATCTATTTTCGTTTGATATTTTTGTCATTCTTATATTTTTATTGTTGACTGGTTGATCAAGGGATACATCACGATTCCTATTAATTCAAGTCTTAGTATGTCTGTTGCTGCAACTCTAAATTACATAGATTTATGTTAAATGCATCCATATTTTTAATAACACTAGTAGGATGTGTTAGAATCTAATGTTTAAAATCCAAACTTATGCACTTCCTATAATAATTATAGATAGTCTTAGAATGTGTTACAGAAAAATTTTTGCAAGTCCAAGAGATTTGTTTTGACTGTCTGTGTTTTCATATTTTTTTTGGCAGCTATATTCATGAAGCATTTAGTATGTTGGTTTGCTAGGGGTACGAATGGAGAAGCCAACAAATCTTATTTTGTTTTCTTGGCTGACCCTTTTCTTCCATCAAATCATGTTGTTTGGAGTAGTAAAGAAAAAAATCCATGTTTTACTTGGTTAATTGGTTTGTTAAATTATGTATTCTAGATGGTGTATTTCGCACTTACTACCGAATGCTCGTTTTTCCTTTCCCTGTATCTGTAAATTATGTCTTTGAAGTTGAAGTTGGCATGAGCATACACTCTAAATCATTTTATTATTTAAAACAGAAAGAAATTATGAGAAGGTCTGGGAGGTGCACCACATCATGCCAATTATTTTAATGATATGCTTTAAATAATAATAACTGGTTAGTAGATAAAATCAGATGAACTTTAAAGCTCTCCTATTTGCTTGAAAATCTGGTAGTTTCAGTTATGCTTGTTAAATAATTTATTGAACCTTCGACTATTTTTTGCAGTACTTTATAATTTAATCTATCAATCAATTCAAGTTCTCTGAATTAAATCAATCTCATGGCATTGACTTCCAATATTGAGTAAATAATCTTTCAAAACTCTTGTTTTGTGGGAATTGATGCAAACCAAGGAATCTGTGACTATTTTATCCATCTCTATCTTACGCATGAGGAGATATTCTTAGTCAGGCACTGCCTAAAGTATATGCAATAATCAGATGCAACTGCAGTCGTATGTCCTGCCTATGTGATACAAACAAATTACTATGCTCAAAACCTTTTATTTCTTCATTATTACTATGCTCAACCTTATATTTCTTCATTATTCTGGTACTCCAGTAATGGCATCAAGAGTTCGTGTAGACGATGGTTTAGAAAAAGCTGTGATTTTCTTTTTAGGGCTGCTCAGATAACCTGCATTGTAAAGAGGGAACGTGGGAATTCATGCAAACATTTTCTCGGGGGTATTCAGAATAATAAAAGAGCTCAGAAATCAAGTCGAAGCATTTGCTTCCAGTTTGCAGTGCCAGGATTCAATATTTGATTTGAACTTGTAAAAGTAGCTGCTTCCCTACCATTTGAGTATTGTAAAATATCTGCACTAATTTAGCTCCTGTAAAATATATATATATATATATATAT